GTGAAGCTTGTTATCTTGGTAAACTGATCATAAGGCCTTCACCAGCCAAAATTAAAACAGAATCACCTACATTTTTTGAATGTATTCAAGGTGATATATGTGGACTTGTACACCCACCATGTGGACCATTCTAATACTTTGATCATAAGGCCTTCACCAGCCAAAATTGAAACAAAATCACCTACATTTCTTGAACGTATTCAATGTGATATATGTGGACCTATACACTCACCGTACGGACCATTCTGACACTTTATGGTATTAATAGATGCATCTAGTAGATGGTCACATGTTTACTTATTATCAACTCAGAATGTGGCATTTGCGAGATTTTTTGCTCAGATAATTAAATCACGAGCACAATTTCCTGATTTTACAATCAATAAAGTTAGACTTGATAATGCTGGTGAATTCACATCTCAAGCATTTAATGATTATTGTATGTCCCTTAGAATTATTGTCGAACATCGTGTTGCTCACGCGCATACACAAAATGGTTTAGCTGAATCATTGATTAAACGCCTCCAGATTATTGTTAGACCATTAATAATGAGAACAAAGCTACCTATTTATGTATGGGGTCATGCAATTTTATATGCCGTGACATTAATTCGCATCAGACCAAGTGCTTATAATAAGTACTCCCATTTACAACTGGCATTTGGTCAAGAACTAATTATCTCCCATCTAAGAATTTTTAGTTGTGCTGTATATGTACAAATTGCTCCACCACAATGCACAAATATGGGTTCTCAAAGAAGACTGAGAATATACGTTGGGTATGAATCCCTTTATATCATCAGATATCTTGAGCCTTAAACTGGTGATGTTTTTACGGCACGTTTTGCCGATTGTCATTTTAATGACATAGTCTTCCCATCATTAGGGGGAGAAAATGAACAACTGGAAAAAGAAATTACACGGTGTGAACCATCATTGTTGCATCTTAATCCTTACACAAAGCAATGTGAACTAAAAGTGCAAAAAATTATGAACTTAAAAAACTTAGCAAATCAATTACCAGACACATTCACTGATACAAAAAGGGTGACTAAATCATATATACTAGCTGCAAATGCTCCCGCTCGGATTGAAATCACACAAGGACAATATGAGAATGAAGTCATTAATATGTCTAAAACGTCTAAAGTGTGATAGACCTATCGGTTCTAAAGACAAAAATTCTCGAAAAAGAAAGAGAGCAAATGAACACAATGACTCCGATTTGGAAGAAAGTGTTCCAGGAGAAACACAAAATAATACAAATAAAGAGATTCTCGATATCGTAGAAAATGCTGAAGGTTTTAAGAACAATGAGATCTCTATTGGCTATATCAATATAGGAGGATTATGGATTCGGAATGAAGTTAAAATTATTGATGAAATATTTTCTTACTCTATGGCATGTGAAATTATTAACGGAACTGAGGATCCTGAACCAAGATTCGTTTCTGAATGCCAAAATAGATACGATTGGATTAAATGGAAAGATGCTATACATGATGAGTTAAATTCGCTTAATAAGCGTAAAGTTTTGGACATATTGTCTTAACGCCTAAAGCAGTGAGACCTGTGGGATACAAATGGGTTTTTGTGTGAAAACGTAATGAGAAAATTGAAATTGTAAGGTATAAAGCTCAAAGTGTTGCACAAGGTTTTTCACAAAGACCCATGATTGATTATGAGGAAACGTATTCTCCTGTAATGAATGCAATTACGTGCAGATATTTAATCAGCCTAACAGTTTCTGAAAATTTAGAGATGTGTCTTATGGATGTTGTTACAACTTATTTATATGGATCACTCGATAGTGATATTTATATGAAAATTCCTGATGGATTTAAGATGCTTGAAGCACTAAATTCAAAACCTAAAAATATATGTTTGATTAAGTTACAAAGATCATTATATGGGTTGAAACAATCCGGACGCATGTGGTATAATCGCTTAAGCAAAGATTTGTCAAAAGAAGGATATGTGAATAATCTCATATGTCCATGTGTTTTTATTAAGAGAACAATATCTGATTTCGTTATAATCACTGTCTATGTCAATGATTTGAACATCATTAGAACTCATAAAAAAATTCAAGAAACTGTGATATACTTAAAAGATGAATTTGAAATGAAAGACCCTGGAAAAATGAAATATGTCTTGGTCTATAGATTGAGCCCATTCAAAGTGGAATACTCGTGTGTCAATTTAACAATACTAAAAATGTCTTAAAATGCTTTAACATGGATAAAGCAAACCCTTTAAGTACTCCAATGATTGTTAGATCACTTAATGTTGAAAATAATCCATTTCACCCTTGCGAAGGTATGAAGAAGTCATTGGTCTTGAAGTACCATATTTTTAGTGCAATAGGAGCTCTTATGTATCTTGCTAATTGTACCCGACCAGATATAGCTTTTGCTACTAATTTATTAGCAAAATTTAGCTAATACATTGGAACATAATTAAGCATATATTCCATTATCTTCAAGGAACATTTGATTTTAGATTATTTTATCCTAAAGAATCAAGACAAGGGATGATTGGTTTTGCAGATGCTGGATATTTGTCAGATTCACAAAAAGTCAGGTCTCAAACTGGATACGTGTTCACATGTGGAGGTACTGCTATTTCATGGCATTCACAAAAGCAAACACATGTTGCCACTTCTTCAAATCATGCCGAAGTTATTGCACTCCATGAAGCAAGTCGAGAATGTGTATGGCTGAGGTCTATGACTCAACATATCCAAGAACTTGTGGACTATCTATCAGTAAAGATCCAACAATATTATTTGAAGACAATGCAGCATGTGTCGCTCAAATAAAGGACGGTTACGTCAAAAGTGACAGAACGAAATACATACCCCTGAAGTTCTTCTCATACTCCTAAGAGCTCGAAAAGAATAAGGATATTGATATTCAATACATTCGATCAAGTGGCAATGCAGTAGATATTTTCACAATGGCACTTCCCTTTACAACATTCAGAAAGTATATCCACAGTATCGTGATGCGTCATCTGGGAGATTTATGAGGAAGGCCTATACATGTCAACTTGATGAGGAGTTTACGTAGCTGTACTCTTTTTCCCTTATTATGGTTTTATCCCACTGAGTTTTCCTGATAAGGTTTTTAGCGAGGCATCATAAACACGTATAGATAAATGATGTACTCTTTTTCTCTTTGTTATGATTTTTATCTCACTGGGTTTTCCTAGTAAGATTTTTAATGAGGCATCATGAATGGTAGACATCTAAGGGAGAGTGTTATGAATAGTAATTGTCCACCTCAGTCAAAATTACTATGCAAATAAGTCAAAGTTACTGTTTATGTCAGAATCTTACCGTGTCAATAATAATCGTAAATAGTAAGTACTGTGTAAATAGCAACTATAAATAGTATCAAAAATTTTCTTATAAATAGAGTTCTAAGACTCTTCATTTTGTATACCTTAACAAGATTAATAAAATTCTCTCTCTTTAAAGTTGTTCTTCTTAGTTTTACATTTTCTTATTTTTCATAACATAAACAACAATGGTCATGGCACACATTAATACATTATATATATATATATCTAATATTTAAGCATAAGACTATGATTATAATTTATCTATGATTATAGCTAAATAATAGTTTAAAAGAATATGGTTACACAAGTATTAAAAGTGCTTGGGATGCAGCAGAAGCGGTGGGGTTGACTCAAAAGGAGAAAGTCACACGGAATCACTTGAAAAGCCAGCAATGCATTGATATTATGATTATATGAAGCTGAAGCTTCTGTCCCTTAATTTGCTTTCCGCTACTTTGAAGTTTGAACAAATAATGTTGCGTTTACTTGTATTAGTTTATTTTATTCCAAATTTCAAAGATTCTTCGCGCCGGTGGAAACTTTGTCTCTTCCATACATGGCAAGCCTCATATTGTTTCCTTTCTTTTGACTTTAGGGCTCTTCTCACTACTCTCTAGTGACCCCCCCGCCCATTAATACAAAATTAAAATTGCCCTTTCCTTCTACATATATATATATATATATAGTAATATATTATACAATATACAAAATTAATATACTATACATATTTATATATTATAATTTGGCGGTGTAGTACTTTTGCACACCAGAAACAGCTAGCTAGTACTCTCTATGTATAGATACATAATAAATGCAGATGTACAGAAATATGGAGAATATATGTAGTAATAAAATGTAAAGTGTGGTTTTCATTAATGATCTTGATTTATACATGTATCAGACCAGTCAATTGATCATCCAAATAAAAAAATATGTCCAATCCCCATATACAGTATTAGTACGTTTAATCAGCACAAGCAACTTCTTCTTCTTTTTTTTTTTTTTTTTTTTTTTTTTTTTTTTTTTTTAATTGGCTATTCTGATCCTAAACTGAAGCTTGGCCTTCTTTAATCCAATATATAATTCATTTTTTCTTATATCTAATTAGGACTCAAATCCCTCTTCAAAGTGGAAAATTTTAAAATATTTTTAATTGACTTACTTTTATGAGCCAATTAAATGACATAATATAATATGGTTGGTTAGACGCTGTGTGAGACATTAAAAATTAGATAACGATCTGAATTTAACTAATTAATTAACATAAAAAACAAATTAACTGAGTGTATCTCATCATGCACGTCTTGATAAAGTTTGAGGCGGTTTCTGCAGGCTGAAAGGGGCTTGAGAGTAGGTTGGTTTAATTGGCTCTCACACCATTGGCTTTCACACCATGCATGATGTAAGAGCCAACTCAGCTCCTGTTTTCTCATCCATTATTTTCTACCAAATATTATTCCACATGCCTTCTTTCATCACCATATGACCTTCTTCATGACTCCACCACCCCCAAATTCACCAAACTCCCTATAAATACATAACTCATCAAACACCATTATTCCAACCCAAAAATATAAAATATACTATATATAGCTACAATAATCTCTATATATAACCTTCCTTCTCAGTCACATATATAATAGTAAAGCAGTACTATGGCTCTTGTATTGAGGAAGCCAAATGCTTATTCAAAGATAGACAAGGAAGACCCGGAAGAGAGAAACCGTAGAAGGGCACAGTTCTTGATCTATAAAGTAATGGAGCAAGCGGATTCGATGTCTCGGAGGCGACCGTCGTATCTTAGGATCAGAATAAGGAAGTTGAAGGTTAAGATTGGGAAGAGGCTGACCAAGTTGAGGAAGAGCATGTTGCTGAGCATATCAGCAGCTAAAGTTAGTGTCTGCAAACAAGTTTGTAGCCAATTCAAGACTTGCAGGCGCTTGTTTGGAGGTGGAGATAATCATAGTAGTGCTAACCTTGTCAATACTCTACCATCTCCTCTTTTTGTTTGATCAAGTTCCGATTATAAGTTATAATATTGATATATCTCCCTTTTCATATTTGCTCGTGTTAATTTGTCAAGAAACTCAGGCTGGGCTGGCTTATGCATGCCACTTCTTTTTTTTTTTTGCCAATCTTGTAGTACTTGATAATGATGATCAATATATACATATAATTTTGTTTTCTTTGTTATATCATTCTTGGAAATCCGTCAATTAGTGGAGAAAACGTTATTAATATTATTATTATTTTTAACAACAAGATACCCAGGTACTCAAATATTTTCTATGTTCCATTTAGATGAGCTCAATTGGGCAATTTTCTGCGTTTTGCAAGATAGTGCATATCTAGTAAAGTTAAAGTTGAGCTAGAGCAATAAATAAATAAATAAAGGAATTGAGCTGAATTTGGATTCAAGGCTGCAGTGCTGCAGGTACTCTATAAATAAATAAATAAATAAATATATATATATATATAGAGGTAAGGTCTCCTTAAGTGTCTGACCGGAATGACAATTATATAATTCTATATAAATCGTATATATTTATATGTAAATTGTGTATATTTACATGTAAAGTCGTGTATGTTAAGTTATAAGAAATGACAATGTATATTAATCCTCAAAACATGTATTTTTTATAACAATTAGTGAACACATAACATGAAAATATATATATTGACTGATTTGTTATATTTCATGTTAAATATACATGATTTACATGTAAATATACACGATTTATACCGACCGCTATCTAAGAGAAGATAAGTAGTTCTTCTATCGTTCAAGGACAAAGAGAGAACATGTAGCGGCTTGCCTGGATCTCGTATTTCTCACGTAATCCGTCGGTCAAACCAACGATTCTCTTCTCAAAGTAATAGAGAGATTCTTTTTGTAGTTAGACTTCTATCAATGCAATGAAAGAACCATCCCTTCCTATTTGTTTGTCCTGTCAAATAGAAATGCTTAGAGCCAGTGACGAAAGGGTTATCTTGCTTTCTATGTCCACCTTGTATAGCTTCCAATATATCTCTTGAGCTTTTAGCATTACACCTGCCGTTTTGATCAGGCAGAGACAAAGTTAGAAGTACATACAAAGTTAATAAACGGCTTTAAGTTTATTTATTTATTTATTTATTTTTTTGGTGTGGCACCAACGAAGGTGTTGATTATTAGACAGCTAGAATCAGTTCATATGGTTTTTATTTTGGACAATCACTTCCGAAAATCAATGACTTTTCATTTGCTTGTTCTAATTAATGAGGTGCCATGTATATATTGGCATTAAGGAATCGTTCCTTATATCTTTTTTATAAGGAAAATATTTTTCAATTACATAAGCATAAATGAATTTGATCTGGGTTTCCACTTGTAATCTGGGGTACAAAACCCGAGAAATATATTAGGCTACATTTTAATTCATACGTTTAAATTAATAATTCTTACTTTTAATATTTAAAATTCAAATTTTTTTTATGAAAAAAAAAAATACTACAACAGAATTAAAATTATAAATTTAAACACATAAAATAAATGAGCCCTTAATGGCTAAAAAACCGTTAGATAAAGAAACATGTATAAATTATTGCTCGAGGATATTTTCTTGATTTGCCAGTTTATTCGTTATACATCAATATCACCCCCTAAAAATTAAAGATTTCATCTTCAATGATGTAGTATAAATTAAGTACTGATCAGGCTTCAACTTCTTGCTATCATCCTGATTGATTTATAATGCAATCAGCATTTAAGTCTAATACAATTATTATGTATATTAATTGATAACATGAATAAATAAATCCCAGACCATAACTATAATATTGACAACTCAAAGTCCGGACAAGATTGCTGATACATGAATGCGAGCCACTAGAGATGCCAGGAATATATATATATTATAACGAAGCAGCTGTCCCTCATGGCCTCTATTTACTATTTATACATCTATGAGCTTCACCATCCAAATGTTATCACTTTGTTGTAAGAATTATAGATCCAATTTTTTAAGGTTTCATTCGTTTTGTTAGTTGGAATTACAATTTAAGTTTTTGTTATAATTTTTTTTTTCATAAAATTTCAAATTCAATTTTTTGTAATATAATGTTTTTTTTTCATATAAATTAACTTTTAACTTAAGTTGAAAACTCAAATCAACGAAAAACGAAATATAAGTATCTTAATTTCCGAATTAATTGGTATCAGCACTATGCAAAAATCACAACTTGATTGTCCAAGTCCTAAATAGTATATGAAAATATTTTTGAGAATATTGATGGTACTGTTCAACACCATAATTAACAAAAAAAAAAAAAAAAATCTATCGCTTGATCTGTGAGATAGATGTTTCAAAACTCACTTTTTATTAATGTGGGTGGTCGGGCATTGTTCATAGTCTACGTTTTTCCTTCGCTGTTTGATGAAGTGGAACATCCAAGAGTTTATTGGCAACAATATTTCAAGAAAATTCAATTAAAATAGTACCAAAGAGTCAATTACTCTCTATTTACTTATGCGTAATCAAATGAACATGATTGAAGTGAGTAGGATTCGGAGTAGGTAGAATTCAGAGTGAGGAATCAGAGTCAGAATAAGTTGTTTACTTAGTGATAGGATTTGGAATCAGAATCGCTCCAAATCTCACTTATTCGTTTACTTACACTTAGAGTCAGAATGAAATAGTGTAAAAATTCTAATATACTCTTTAAGTCAATTTTATATTTTTATTTAAAAATTATATTAAAATTAATCATAATTAAAATATTTAATGTAATAATAAGGTAATAAAATAATAAATATAAATTGTACAATTATTTAAAATATAAAAATAAATTTTTAAAATTTAAATAAAATAAATAAAAATAAAAAATAGTGTTAAAAAATTAAAAATATTATTCATTTATTAAACAAAATTTATATTAAAAATAACAATAATTAGGCTAATATTAGGCGGATAAAATAATATATATAAGTTGTAATTATTATTTTTTAAAATTTATTTTTAATTTTATATATATAAATAAAATATGAATATGATAGTAATTTAATGTGAATATAGGAATCTCAATCTCAAGAAGGGACATGGAGTCTCAATTATATTCCTCACTTCCAAATTTAAGTGGACCCCATGAATTCTACTTTCATTTTTATATAAAAAAGAGGAGTAAATAACTCATTCTCAGTAAGTAAATATGTCATAAATGTTCACTCCCTCAGTCCCTCACACACCTTGCCATGATGCCGTACGGTACTACTCCTAACTGTATTAATTCTTCCCCTTATTATTAAAGAACTTTGGCATTGGGCAACGGGCAATTTTTCTATCCATCTACCTGGATCAACCCATATATCAAACTAACCCAATTAATGCATCTGAAAATCCTGTACATTTTTCTTGGTTTCTCAAATCTATCAAATTATCTTACAATTTATCCCTTAAAATAATTTGGCATAGGATGCTCTTTGTAATTTCCTGTTTCATACAATGGACCGCTATATGAAGAAGCTTTGGTCCGTGTTAGGCCCTTGGCTCCACCAGATTATCGGCAAAAGTCAACCATGTGCTTGAGAAGTCAAATTGATTTATGACTTGAGCTAAAAAAAGCTCTTTTGCTCTTTTCTTTTATGAAAAATAAAAAATAAAATTGCTCTTTTTTTGTTGATCTGCCGTATTTTGATTGTGTTTAGAATTAATTTTATTTTTTATTTTTTACATTTTTTAAGAAAACGTATTTTTAAAAATAATTTTTATCTGAGATTGAAAATATTTTCATTCAAACAATAAAATTATTTTAGAACGAATTCTAAACGCACTTTTTGTATTTGATTGCGACTGATTGCAACTGACCGCGACTGATTGTGACGGCCACATGCTCTGCATGTGACTTGATCTATCATTGTGCCAAATTAAACCGATAAATATCCCTAAAAGCTAGGCATAGTTTGGTGCTTATACATCTTTCATCCAACCTGGGCACATAACATTTATGAGCGTGCAAATATATATATAAATGACTTTGCGTGTTCGTAAGGCTTTTGTTACTAATATAGCATGCGTCACAATCTGATGGTTATATTGGTAGGAATTTTAATTAACAATGAAGTTCTCCAAACTTTGATAATGGAGATGTATTTCGTTAGTCGCATAGAGAAATTATATTACTAATTAACTAAAGGAAGGTTACTTTGCACAGCGCCCCCCTCCCGCGGTTGCATATGCACTTAAATTATATATATGTATTATATATTTGAAAAAAAAATCTGTTACATATTATTTAAACATATATGGAAAACATATATAATATATTGTAGTTCTGTTGGCGAAATATGTGGATTGAGAAATACTCAATCTGTAATTTAATTCGTTATTATGGATTAGATAAATTTCAATCTGTTACTAATTTAAAATTTGTTAAAATATAAAATTATTGGGCCACCTCCTAATAGTTTAAGTTTTTTTTAGCTTAAGCTTTTGAGACGGATTGGTAAACTAACATGATATCAGAGCGGGAGATCCTGAGTTTTAAACTTTCGTAATTGCACTCTTTATCCCCATTTAAATTGTCATCATGTGTTGGGTCTTTAATATATCTCAGGCTTATATATTCACTTGTTGGGCTTTCCAATTAATTTACCCACACGATTGCCTATTGTCCAGCCAACATGTGAGGGGGAGTGTTAAAATATAAAACTATTGTTGGCCCACCTTATAGCTTAAGCTTTTGGGACGGATGTTAGTTTACCAATCCGTCCCAAAAGCTTAAGCTAGGAGGTAGGTCAACAATAATTTTATATTTTAATACTCCCCCTCACGTTTGAGCTAAACAATAGGCAATCATGTGGTTAATTAGAAAGCCCAACACGTGAATATTTACGCCCGAAATATATTAAAAACCCAAACATGATGGCAATTTAAATGGGGATAAAGAATGTAATTACGGGAGTTTGAACTCAGAACCTCCCGCTCTAATACCATGTTAATTTATCAATACATCTCAAAAACTTAAACTAATAGGA